TCAGTCAGATTCAATACAACTATGTAGTTTGTAGTCCTGAATAAAGAAAGCCTATGGAGTATTACGGAATTAATTCCCTCCCTACCTGAACGAAAAGTTATTATCTCATCTAATCACCAGATGTCCTATTACAGGAAACTTGTTAGCACTGTTGGGAAATCTCTTGTGGTCAATTGTTGCAGTCACTGTGTAAATTTTTAAGCTCTTCTGCTCTGAATTTTATTTTACTATCGCCTAATAGCTTCAAGGTCTGCTGTCTGTTTTAGCCTAACAGATTCTGGTCAGCCCACCTCATGACTGGCTCTGGTTGTTAGATTTTGCTACAAAGTGTCTGCTAGATGAGGTTTGCAAAGCCTCTATCCTGTAAGGCATCACTGGAAATCCTCCTCTCTTTTACAATTACATTCAAGACAAACCAGATAACTCTTACTTAATCAGCAAAAAGGTTGTCCCATTAAGCAGTGGTGGTTATATATCTATTGAAGCAAAATCAAGTAACAGGCCTTGTATAAATATAGGTCATCAGTGGTTACCTTTCCTAACTACAAATCTTGTTAGGAAATAAATTAGTTTGAAATGAGCTGTTTTCCAAAAACCCATGTTGATTGGATTCATCAATTCAGTTATTTATTATTTGAGCCCATCATTTGCTAGCAGCAGTCTCATGGGGATGGGCCAATAATTACTCAGAGCATCTTATTTAGCCTTTTTAGCATATTTATTAGTTTTGATCTTCCCAAACTTCCCTGTTGTTTTGTAACTCAACAACATAGAAAGTTTTTAATCAGTCCTTCTAAAACTTTTAGATGTAGAATTTTAAAATGATGATTTTAGCATTTCTAATTATATGCTTCTCTCTTTTTGTCTTATTGATCCCTTTTTCATCTAATAGGAGCATGGCAGTAGTGGTATGATTCTGTCTGCTTTTAATACACCTGGGCAGTTCTTGTTTCTACCAGTCACTTTCCTATCAAGTACTTAAACTTAACTTCTTTTCATTTTAATTGTCTGCTTCATCATTTTCAACTAATGTTATTTTCCATTTGTGTGTTTTATATGTCTATTTATATATGTATATACACAGGGATATTAATGTAATATATATGTGTAATTCATGTATATGTATCATAAGGTATATAATATATATGGTGCAATTTTAAGTTCTTTGTTCTCTTTTTCTTTTTTTTTTTTTTTTTTATTTACAGGTGGCTTTCTTTTCAAACTGTGGTATGTTAAATGGCTATTAAAATATTTTTCAACCATGCTCCGCTACTAGTCATTGTATTTTTTTCTATTTAAATTCCTTCTCTGAAGTTTTTTGTCTGATAGTTATTACCGGTTCTTAACGGGCAGCCGCTAAGCATTTATGTATATGTATATACACACACATACATAAATATATATTTACATATATATATTTATATATATAAAAAACATTTTCTAACAGAAAGTAGGAAAAGTAACCAAATCATTTTTATAATTAAAATAAACAGGCATAACCCTAGCAAATTACGATTTTTCCATTACCCCCCAAAAATTTTAATTACCTTCCTGAGGGACAGAAGTTAGTCCTGTATCCTCCCACTGATTTGGTATAAACAAGATCAAAACATAATATCTAAACTGAGATGATTAGACACTGTAGAGATTAGCAGTTTGCTAAGTGAAACTGAAAATTCACCTTGGTGTGTGTAGCAGCATGAACTGTTATTCTAGAAATAGCAGGAGATAAGTTTAAGAGCATGAGGGAAACTTAACAATAGCTGTAATACATACCATAGTTAGAGTACCCTTAATTTGCAGAAACAAATGTTGTATTTTTCTGCTTCTAACCATCCTTTACTTCTGGACTCTTTCTTGGACATACATAATGAGCAAAAACTTGGTAAATGTCATTTTCGCTTATTTAAAAATGCATTCCATAGCATTGGAATCTAATTCTTCCATAGCATTGTAAGACATGTGCTAACAGGGCATGGTTATTCTGCTAATATGTGTAAATAGGAAAGCCATCTTTGAAGTTTAAATGCTGTTTAAAAATCCATACTATTCTACAAGTTTCCTAATAGCCGGTACTATAGAACAGAGGTTCTGTGCCCTGATCCTGGCATGGTGGGTGCTTCACTGCAACACACTGCTTTCCAAGTAGACAAGAGCTCCTGGAGAAGGACTGGGATAAGGGAATGTGCCTGGAGAACAGGGCCCTGACATTGGACTAGCAGGTAGACCTGGCCTGGCAGTGCCTTCACCCTGCTTCCCTCTGCCACTGTGATCCCAGGGAGCATTGCACTCTCCCCAGGAGTCACACGGTTGAAAGCTCCCTCTGCCAGACACAAGCAACATCTGTAAGTCTCTATGTGCTGGAAACACACCCTCGCATAAACATATTCACCCCACTAATTTAACAGGTAGTATTACACATTGTTAAAACCATTTAATACCTAACAACTCAGCTCATGAGGACTCCACCAAGTTCTTCATAAATACTTACTTAAGAGAGAATCTAGATTATTGAGCTGAAATATATGGAAAAGTATTTGTTCTTTTTTTTCTTCTTTCCTTAGAGATTCCTACCCTTTTCTGCTCGTTGTTGTTAGCTCTTGTTAAATGCTGACCCTGATATTGACAGGTTGTGGGGGTTTTTTCCTTCATGTGCATCTGTTCAAAGATCAAATTTAGAGTCTTATAAATAGCACTAAGCTCATCTGTGTTGAAGCAAGAGGATATTTTAGATCTTCTCCAACATGTAAATTCAACAGACTGGAGTTTTCAGCAAATATCTTAAAAAGTAAGTAACCTTAACCCCAAATTCTTTTCAAAGATAAATTTATCTTTCCTGAACTCTGTTATACAGATTATAGCATACCTGAGTAAGGAATTATTTCATTGCTTATAGTGACAACAAAGAACGTTAAAAACTTACTAGAATTGAACTACTGAGGTAGAGTTACAAACTAAAGTTTCTTAAAACATATTCCACGTGAAATCTTCATTGAACAAATGAATAATTGGTGTGCAATTCCAAATAAAGCCACAGTAAATTGCTTGGTACAATTAATTGCTATTAATTCATATTTAAAATGTAAAAATAATTTCTCTTCTAAATTTGGAAAACATGCATAATAGATCAACAGTTAAGAAAATACTGTAAGAATAATTTGTAGTTTGAACTCTAGATAAAAGAAGGAATAGGGTCCCCACAGATTAATCTGAAAATGGGAAAAAAATCCAGAACTCTAATATGCAGCATTTCAAGGTCTCTGATCAAATACTAATCTTTATAATTTTTATCTACAAAGAGATCTGCAAAGATCTTTCCCATAAGCAGTATGTGCTTGATAAATATTGAGATAACTGTGAGGTCAAAAGCATATTTTGCCAATGGCATTTGGAAAGCTGGAAATGAGGACAAAAATGAAGAAAATGGGAAATGATAGGAGAGAGAAATATCTCATATGAAAATCTAAGTCAACTGAACTGGATATGGATATGGTTATCAATCAGGTTATATAACTTCTCTGTATGTTTTAAGGGTTTAACTACCTAAGTGCTAGCCAAGCAGTGAAACGCGTGCACATGTGCGCACGCACATTGCACAGGCAAATCCCACTTACACCACTCCCTAAATCACTGAAGAACTTTAGCTGGGAGGAGAATGGGCTCAGGGGGATCTCACCAATGAATATAACCACCTGATAAGGGGGAGTGAAAATAACAAAGCCATACTTTTCCAAACCTGATTGGACATTTTGCCAAGTAGCCTGCTCTTGGTGACCCTACTTTGGGCAGGGGCTTGGACCAGGCACTGCCCAGAGGTGCTCTCCAGCCTCAACCCCTCTGGGGCTGGGACTGTCCCTGAGACGATTCACTGCTCTGAGTATAGGTGTAATGTCTTTGCCACTTGTGGCTCAGCATAAAGGTAACCCTGAGGTGAAACAGGGTTGGTCATTAGTCTTGTGGCTTCAAACGTAGACCTGCCAATTTTGAAGCTGTTCTGTGGATTTATAGCCAGACATGTTAATAACATAAGAAGCACCTAGACCAAATATAAGAGTTAATAAAATATCTTTGCAGTTTGAAACAATAATGCCAAAAGGTACACAATGTGTTACAGAACCAATGTGTTTAATTTTTTTATGTTGCTTATATATGATCCAGACAACCAGTCCTGCCTACACACAGGATACATGAAATAGCCCTGTGTATGCAAAATTCAAATAGTTATAAAAAGTTAGTCAGAATGCAGAAGGGAAAATGGACAAATTGTTCCTTTCTTAGTCTAATCTGTCCGTAGCTACAGAGCTGAACTATGGGTTAGTAGGAAAGAAAGATATGTTTTAATATGTTTTCTTTCCTCAAGAAATCATGCAATCATCAATCCAATTCAATCATCCAGTATGCTGTCCTTTACAAGGCATGTGTCTGGCCAGTGAAAATGTTTCTCTGGTAGTACTGATGTGCCAGCTACAGTGTCCTTGAACAGAAATCACAAACCCTGTGAATATATTTCTGGTTTTCTATTGTTTTATGAGAGTCATATATAATATTACAAAAAATAAATAGCTGTAAATAGTATTTTTTTTTAAAATCTAAAATACTTCTGAAAAACATTAATTTCTAAGCATTCAGATATGGCCACAATTTTTCTTAATTGAAAGTAGAAAAATGAACTTGGTTTAAAACAATACTTTATTTGATATATATATATATTCTTTAAAAATTACTTACATTATTTTTGGTAACAGTAACAAGAGAGGATATCTTATATACCACTTTTCAATTAATATATCATAATTCACAGTAGCAGCAGATTAATTCCTCTGTTACAACTAAAGAAAGTAAAGCATCTTTTTTGTCACTTCCACATTATCATGAGCTTCTACAGAAAGATTCTCTTGAGTTTGTGGCTTTAAGGTTTGCTGTTTTAATTTAAGACAGTTCAAAGCAAAGATCTGTTGCAAAGGCTATTTATTGATATGTACAATCATTTCTCAACCAGAATGTCAAATTTTGAGCAGCTTCACTTCGACTTTTACCAGTCCAATTACACCATAGATGATCAGGAGGAAGGCTGCAACAGCTATGGGTCTAACGAAAACTTCTCTGGAAGCATAAAGTAAGTATAGGTGTTGTTACAGCTTCCCTCTTCAGCATCTGACAGTTCCAGGGCTGGCTTTGGGGCTTGCAGGAGCAGGAAAGGACTTCAAGTGATCATCTAGACTTTCCCAAGAGAAGAATACTTTTTACTGAACTTTTCTTTTTAAGGGATGTTTTTTGTGCTACTTTTAGAAGAACTGATATTACAGGTTTTTTACCTAATGGGAGTAACTGAGTTTCATGTTATTAATGTGAAATGTAGGGCACATATTGCAGGAAGTTCTTTAGGATGCTTCTCAAATTCAAGAAAAAAAAAATCAAAATATATGGCTCTTTCATTAGCAGTATGGACATATCTGAGGAGTGACACCAGGCTGCTGGGTGGAAAAGTCAGGAGTGCCTGAATTTGTGGGTGCCCTCACAGCTCCTAAATTCCCTTTCCCCTCACCTTCAGCCTGTGGGTGCCTGCACTGTGCGTTGCCTGAGCTGGGTGGGTACAGAGTTGTTGTGATGGGCTGAAGAGTGCTGGCAGGCTGGCAAGGAGCTCTGCCTGGTTTCATAGAGAGTTGTAGCGAAGGAAAGCCATGCCATGGTCAGCAGCTCAGCTCTCACTAACCACAGCAGGTATTGTGTCCGGAAAATTTCCGTGTTCCCCAAATTGAAAATAGGTGAAAAATAGATGCTACATAGTGAGTAGCTTTAAGATGTTTCTCATTGCACTTATGTGTTTTGCTTGGTTTGCTTCTTGTCCTAGGAGCCAAACAGGAGAGCAACCTCCAACTGGAGCTTTTGCCCCATCCGATATGCTTCTGTCCTCTAAGAGTTACACAGGTCAGATTTTGCAGCCAACGTACAGTCCCGATACTCTCTCTCATCTTGGTTATGCTGATGGATTTGACGAGGAACCTCCTTTGCTAGAAGGTAAAAAAGAAACCCATGGACAACGTGCATGATTCCTGGAAGTGCATCTACTTTTCTTTGCCGGCTATTGGCCATCACTAGAGAAACTGCAGCAGAGCTGCCAAGCCTGACTGTGTGAGCTTCAGCCAACAGCTCCTGGCCCCTAAACCTACATTTTCTTCTTGAATTCACCATGGATTCATTCAACCTTATGACATATAGGGCATATACTTTACCACCACTAGATGACAGCATAACAATAAGTTTTGCATTCACATTTCCAAATCTTTTTTCCCACTCTATGTTTATCCTGCATACATATTGGAAAATCTATAATTAATAAATACTGATAATCCTCCTTTTTGCATATCTAGTAATAAATGTAATAGTTTGAAGATGCTAAGTAGCTTGTTTCAGAGGGAAACAAATTGAGAAAGCTGCTTTCAGCTGCAATTAGTTAATCATTTAACTATACAAACAATGTCATTCTTTATGACAATTGAACCATACTAATGTTAGTGGCTGATTTTGTAGTTTGCAAAAGACTTGTGCTGCATTAAAAAAAAAAGAATTGGAGAATTTGTCTGTGATTATTTCAGCATAATGTGAAAGGAGCATATTCAGCCTGCTGCTTTTGCATACTGGGAGGCAAGTGGAGTTTTTACTACTTAAAAGGTGCTACTACTGCCTTAAAGCCAGAAAGATCACTCTGATACAGGTAACTAGATCTCTGCCTCTAAGACCTCCAAGCATTTATCTCCCCATGCAGCTCACCCTGTGAAAAAGATGCTGCAATATGACTGCTTGTGATCCCCAAGGCTTCAGAGATGTACCTATCTATGTACACATAGGTCTGACTAAAGACACACATTTTAGTACAGAATAGCTTTATTTATGTAATGTTTTGGCTGAGCTCAAGATGATGGAGAGGTGGAACAAGATAAAGACTTGGCTTTTCAAAAAGAACTAACACATTGTCAGTCTTAATGCTGCCAACTCTGGCACCAAGTCCTGAGCCTAACTTTTCCCTTACTGGAGAATCTCAAGGAAGTTGATTACTCTTGCAAGCTGAAGTGTTTTCCAGAAGTTATAAAACAAATCTTTGCCCCAGTAGAGTTTGTGGCAGAATTCCCATCAACTTTAATGGGAAAGAATTTTGTTCTGTTTTCAGGGATCTCAGTATTACTTTTTAAATGAAAAAAAAAAGTTTTTAAAAAACACTGTACAATATATTATTAACTTGCCTTGAAGGGACAAATGTCATTTTTAAGTGCCTCTGGCAGTTCAGAGTTAAGACACATTTCTTGTCAGATTTACCAGAATTAAAAAATATCTCTCTGTCCTTAGTGTTCTTGAGTATCTTAAATTCTGCAGCTGCTGTTAATTAACTTATTTTTCAACATCTAAGCTGGTGTGGCATTAAATATATGTGTTTTAAATATAGGAAAAACAAATATTAACTCAAAAATGCTGAGGGCATTTTTTGGCTCATTGCCTAAAGTTTGATTTAATAAATTAATATTCCAATTGAGAATCAGAGCTGACTCTCAAACATGCTGGGTATACAGCATGTTTCTACTAAGAATATGTTATCCTACAATATTATCTTCATTAAAGCAATTAATTTGTTTGCGGTTTTGTGATATCTAATGCGTTTCTGTGAAAGTGTTGTTTTCTTGTGAGCAATTAACAATCCTGAAATTTCTTGTTGCAGAACTTGGGATCAATTTTGAGCATATATGGCAAAAAACATTAACAGTTCTAAATCCAATGAAGCCTGCAGATGGCAGCATTATGAATGAGACAGACCTCACCGGACCTATCATTTTCTGTTTGGCCCTTGGAGCAACATTGCTGATGGTAGGATGTGGTTGAAATCTTCAGGGATTTCTTTTCCAACAAGCTAATGCCTAGGTGATAATGCATATGAAGTTGCAGAAGATGTAATACTGGCATAAAAGGAGTCATGTGCTGCCATTTGTTCTGAGATTATGTGTTAAAAAGTCTCCTTGCTTTGAAAGTACCTGCATTAAGTTTAAATGTAATGAAGAAGTAACACAGGTGAAGTGATATATTACTTCCAGTGTTACTTCCAGTGACAAAAAAAGACTATACCATTTTTGGGGTGGGATTTAATATGAACAAAGGACAGCTCTGTGCCATGTATAACCTGGAGAAGCTCTGAACACCCAAAGCATAGCAGTACGTGCTAGATAAAGACCTAACAAGGAGTTTTTAAAGTAGGTAATAAAAAGACATAGCAGACCAGCCCCGTTTTTCTAACACTCTTGACACTGTTTTGAAATTATCTTCTTTCTATGTTATTTTAGGGAGTGCAGAGATATAAAAAGAGTATCTTTATATAGCAAGAATAATTGGAAAAAAAGAAATGAAAACAATCTTTTTCTTCAAACTTTCCTTTCTCCTCAAATTTGCAATAATTTCCTATAAATTTTAATAGTACTTCCTTAGTTTATATTTTTTTTCTATATTGTCTGCTTAACAAAATATGGTAGCCTGTATTTGACCTTCTGTTTTATGAATATAGCTTTCCTACAGGAGGGAAGTTTAACAGGGATTGTGCAGTTCTCTGAATTCATCTATTTATCATTGACAACAGGGGGTTTCCAGTGTTGCTGAAGTACAGCTCTGATTGTTGGCAGTAATTCATCAGACAGGGGTAAGGTGGGACCACCCTAGGAAGGGCTTTACTGCTCTGCAACTGAGGTGAGAGAAATGGGTCTCTAATTCTCCATTTCCTCTATGATAAATAGTGTTGAATCAGAAGATTCTTGAAAATTCTTACTCCATTGTCAGGGCGGTACCTTGAATGTGCAAACCACAATATAAATGGCAAGTATTATTATTATTATTTATGCCCGTATAAAAATAAAAATATTTTATAAGGGTGGAAGATGCAGGAGGAAAGGGAATAAAAGGAAAAGAAGACAGGAAGCTAGAGAACACAGGCTATTTTCCACATGGAGAAATAAAGATATGAGAGTAGTAAAAGGAGAAAGTTGAAAAGCTAAGAGAAAGAAATAATGGAAAAAAAATGCTTCCTGTTGATTTTTCTTCCTGAATAGCCAACAATTCTAATGAATACTAGACTACTATTATTGAAATAAAGCACTTATATTTATTCTGCGGTATTAAGCATTTTAAGTGTCACCAGAAAACTAACTTCAGTGCTCCAGATTTAGGCCAACAGAACTCCTCTGATACAATCCAATGTTTTTCTGCCATAACTTCACAGCAGTAAGTGTATGGATTTTCCATGTGCCATCTTGGAAATTTGGGCTGCTTATTTTATCTCAGATGCATTTGAATACTAAAGTGGCTGTTCAACTGTGTAAACCATCCTTCTGTATTTAAATAAGTCTCTTCTAATAGCACCAGGAACAGAATTTGGTTGAGACCTTGTTTCTGAAACAATGTATACATTTTATTTAGTTTCAGGGTTTTAACTATGGAAAATTATGCAGATATTCTTCAAATGGTAGCAGCTCTTTCAGAGAGAAAGAGAAAAGGGCTGTTAGCGCGGCAGCAGGACTTGATCTTCCTTATGTTGGTATAACAGGGCAGCCCAATTGTAGGAGGAGAAACAATGACAGCACAAAAGTTAGCAGAAGGCTGTCTCAGCTGCTTTGCATTTTACATAGTCATTTGTATGAAATCAGACTTCCCCATCCACTTCAGATAAGGATAGTAGTACCCACTCCAGGCAGATGCAAACAAGCACACAAAGTCTGACTTTCTCCTAACCTTGTTCCTTCCGCAGGACAAATTTAGCTCTTTCCATTCATCAAAGCCTGTCAGACTAATCAAGCCTGATTCTGGTTTTGCTTACATTCCTCTGAACTGGGAGTATTCCTGTGTGTGTGAGTCAATATATTTACATATGTTAAGAAAGATGGCTAAAATTGGAACCAGCATGTTCAGCTGCCTATCCGCCCTCCGCCCTTGCCCCACCAACCAAACATTTCACCAAGTGGAGATTTCAGGTAGCTGCTGGTGCTAGTGCTCCCTTCATATCTGGCTCCGGAATTTCTTAATCTTAAACTAAGCTGATAAATAGTGCTGTGTAGAATAATTAAATACACTGAAACAAAGTCTAAAATATAGCTTGTAGTTGTTGCACCTGTTTGAAACAGCACTTTTCTTAGCTGGTCTATAACAAAGGCTGCCCCAAAATGTTATGGGTGCTAAATTTACTACAAATTATTAATGACCGAAATTCTAATTGATAATAATCTGAGGTGGTATTGCTCTCCCAAAATATCTATAGCTATCATTAATTTTTTTTGTAGAAGCAATTTTTCCTGATTATTTTATACCACTAGTATGCAAATGCCGGCAGAGGATTCTGTGTCTAAATAGGAAGATTTCTTACCCTGTTAGTTCAGGAATAGATTATTCCTTATGTTGGAGGACAGTGATGGGGAAAAGCCCAACACTCAGAATGTTGCAAGGATACAGGCAGCCTGGCTGTACCTGTCTTAAACATTGAGGACTGGAACCAGATGAGAGCTCAGAAGTGAACCAGTTCAATTTGCAAACAGGATAATGTTGCTGATGTAAAGTCAGGTCTTATTGACTCAGTCTGCGTTTCACATAAGTGTGCATGGCTGTCCAACCAGAGCTGGTGAGCTGTCACCAGCCTGCAACATTAGGAATTTCAAGTTGTGTCATCACTAAGCTAGGCCCTCTCCACTGCATTGCTTTACGTCTGTCCAGCTCAAACACTGCTGGCATCCAGTGGTCAGTTTCCACATTGTGGTGGGGGAAAACAGTTTTCCCCCTGAAGTTATAAAATGGTAAAGCCCTAGGGGGTGGAGACCCTTAAGGTTTGAACCAATGAGCGCTTTTGCAAAATACAAACATATCACAAGCAGACCAGAAAAGAAAGGTGATGTTGTTGTAGTTGTTGTTGGAGAAGTAGCCATGTTGTAGAGCCACGAGGAGAAGCAGCAACAGCCCCACTGGGGCAGGGACTTGGAACAGTGTTAAACTGGGCCAGGTTTTATAGCTGAGAGCTGAAGGAGTTTTCTCCACCATGAACAGCAGAAGCAGTGGCAAAAACAACACTAGCTGGAGAAAGTGGCAGAGAGCCAAGAGATAAGAACTGAAGAAGCAGCAAACGAGTATGCAGCCGAGCAAGAGACACAGAGTTGTCCGAGAGATGAGAGCCAGCAGCAGAGAGAGAACTAAGCTCTACAGAGACAGAGTTTTGGGGTAAGAACTGAACCAAAAACCCCCAAACTCCTTGGAGACTTCTCCTAGAAGGGAGGGGTGAAGTGCAGCAGGACTGCAGAGAGGAGCTGAGAAGCTCAGGTGTCCTGGAAGCTGGACCAGGACGGCCAAAGGAATGCAGAGGAGGGCTTTCCGCCCCCCCACTGCCTTGAGACAGAGCACAGAAGCTCCGTAGGGGATTTGAATCCCCTGAAGATAGGGACTGTCACGAAGACCCCTGCGCTTCGTGGTATGACGTAGTGAAGTGACCCTTGTCCCGGTGAACACAGCCTATGGAAGAGAAGACCCTCACTTGGAGACAAAGGACCATGAGGGCTTGAATACCCCCCTCCTGTGTACTGGCAGAGATCCAGCTACAACTATTGCATGAAGTCAGATAGGCTGCTGCCCTGAAGACACTGCTGCTCTGAGTGGAAAGGATCTTTTCCTTCTTCCCTCCTGGACTTTTATTTGGAGGGGAGAAGAGATTTGATCCATTGTAAATATTTTTATGTCATGGTAGAGATAGTTAAGATTCTGTGTGTAATGTATTGTAATATTTATTTTGTACAGTCATTGTAATATATAATCCCTTCCACCCGTTTTGAGTCTCGTGTGGTGTCTGGAAAACCCATCTCACACTGGGCTGAGATGTAGGAGGGGGTTTAAACTAGGGAATTGGATTTTGGGGCTCTCAAACCATGACACGCCATGCATGGATAGAGGAAGAGGGGCCAGAGAAGAAGGGTCCTCAAAGTTGATTTCCCCCAGATTTTATTAAAATGTATGGATAAATAAGGTGATAGGTCTTCTTAATCCTCCTTAAGCACCATGCAAGGTATACTAGCAAATATCACAAAACATGAAAAAATGCAATGTTTCCAACTAATCCATCACAAGAGAATCCAACCATAAGCCACAAACTGACTAGAAAACTGAGACCATCTGATAGTTTTGATTCTCATGTGGTTTATCATATACTATATACAATATATAGTGGGCAATATATAGATATGTTTGTGTCTGTGCACAAACACACCTGTGTTTTAAATGTGTACAGACATGTTGTTATGTGTCAGAAAGGTGATACATAGCAGCCCTTCATTTGAGAAGTTTATTCCATAGTCCTGAGTCAATAGTTGAGTTCCAGGTAAGAGCTCTGTCCTTCACAGGTGCATGCTATCATTAATATACAAAGTTCCAAGACAAAACAAACTTTATTTCTGATTTATGAATGTTTTTGTGATGTACAGATGTGAAAATGACGATATTGCATAGCCAGCAATCAGTATTTAATTTGTTAAAAGCTTGAAGAGAGAGCAAAAAATATTCAACAGTCTTTTGTGACTGTTTTGTTTTGGGGAGTGAACAATGCACTTATGCCCGGAGGTGATCATTCAAACTGATGGCAGGAGATGAAGGAATTGGTACTGCTGTGCCCACAGTTGCCTGTTTTACTAGCTTTGTGTATAAATTAGAAAACATCAAGCTCTACCAGGCTGGTGCCTTTCACAGGCACTACATTCACTCAAATGAATAAAATCTGGAAGGAAAAAAAAGCACCTGGGATTTTTTTTGTTCGTTAGAACAAGAAAAAGAACACAAGCTGACAGTAACTACTCAGGTTTATGTTGAAATGAACATGTTGTATTGATCTAAGCACAGAAATGTGTCTTTCTCATGGTAGTGAAAGGGAAAAATGGTCACATTCATCCTGAAAACCAGCATATTTTAAGCAAAGTTTTAGTAATTTTTTGCCGACCTGTTTAAAGTTGGAGGTTTGTAATAAAATATAAACCATATCAAGTAACCTGAGTCATAATTTACTTAGGACAGTTTTTCACAGCCCCATATACACCTGTTGAAAAGATGTTTCTTGAGACTAAAAAGAAATTATTAAAATGTACTTTCCATAATTTCTTCTCAATTTGTTCCTTCAGTTTGTAACTTCCCAGTTATACCCTCCCAAGCCTCCCAACCAATTCCTGTCCCGCTCAGAGCCCAAAGAGAGTAAGACTGAGAATCAGCCTTGTAATTTTAAGTTAGCAACAAGCACATTCTCTCAATTGTACCTTTAAATTATTTTTATGCAAAAATCACCCAAAAGTATCAGCTGTGGTTTATGACTGAACTAATATAGGTGAAGCGGAGAGAGAGTGTCAACAACAAGAAGTAACAAACCTAAACCTAATTCTGTCTTCTCTCACTACTTTGTGATCACTTGCTCAGTTCTGACAATTAATGCTTACTCATATTTATTCCAGGCAGGAAAAGTTCATTTTGGCTATGTGTATGGCATGAGTGCCATTGGGTGCCTTGTTATGCATGCCCTGCTGAACCTGATGAGTGACTTGGGAGTCTCACATGGCTGTGTTGCAAGTGTCTTGGGCTATTGTCTGCTGCCCATGCTGATCCTGTCGTCTTCTGCAGTTATCTTCTCACTACAGTAAGTACCAGTCTATCACAACAGGAATCCTATGGAAAATAGTAAGTTAGAAGACTGGTGTTGTGCAAAACATTTTATAAATGGTTAGGTAGGGAATTTTGGCTTCTGAAACTGTAAAGCATAACACCATTTTTTGTGTCTGTGTAGATGGAAACAGACAGAAGTGTTTGAGAGGGTTGGTATACATTCATTTTAGTGTGAGTCCTTAATCCATCGCTTCTCACTTGGACTGAGAGTGCTGATAGATTTTTGCAGTAACCTCAGATGTGCCTTTTGTTTCACAGAGCCAACAGTGACCGAAGTCAGGTATCAATTTTAAAAGTGACTGCTGTACTTTGGCTTTATGTAGCTGGTTCTCCTGTTTCTTTATTTGTTCATAGCATCAGACCTCTCATCTTTATGTTTCCTTGCGTACACCGACTTCTGTTGGGCAGAATGAAATAATCCTGTAACCCTTAATGATTTGGACAATTAGAACAAGTGTTTAAGATGTAGTAGAGTTGTATACTCTGAGGTATAGCTGTGATGTAATTGCAAACCTGAAAATAACCAAATACTTTGAAATACCACTTGTGCAGTGGTGTATTTATCTGTCCACATATGGAGGATTGTTCAGTTACATGTCTATGGATAGGAAACTTTTTGACAAACCTCTCTTTCCTCGTCATTTGGTTAGTCCTTTGAGATACAGACTGTGTTTACCTCCCTGTTCACATACAGTAAAGTACAAGAAAATTCCAGATCTTGCATGAAGGCATTGAGCAGCACTTTTACCTGTTTTTAAAGTTATTAATGGTGGTTTCCCTTCTTAGACTTTGTTATTCTCTGACATTTTTAACTCTTCAATCTGTAATGTATGGGACTTGGCAGCTGATGAATAAGAAAGTGCCTCTGTTTGTTTTCTTTGGAAAAGCAGTATATATATATATATATATATAAATATAATTTTCTAAAGGAAATTATGTAGCAGAATGAAGATTTTTTACACAATTCTTGTTGCATGTTTCTGGGGAGCTATGATGGCTTAACATGACCACATTCCATGTATTAAAGTGTTTCTGAGCTGTCCTTGATAAGATGGATAGTAGTGACACTGAAGAAGTCATTTATTCTCTGTTCTCCTACACTTCCCATATTTTCTTGATTAACCTGTTTAATAATCCAGCCTAATAAAATGTGCAGACACATAATCGTAAGACAGATGGGGTGAACTCCAAACCAGCTGTTACAATTGTGCAGGGTACTGTTGTCTGTACAAGGAATCCCCCATCACACACTACACATTTGTAAAATGCTGCAAATTTGCAGACATATTTTGAAAAACTATAAATGCTATATTGTGATAGCCTTTAAAAAATTAAACTGTTATTTCTAAAATGGGTTGATAATGTTAAGTACCTATCGACAGGATTCTGCAGTCCTTTCTCATTTGCTATATGAAACTGCTTGAACACAGCAAGTACCAAGGTTAACTATTGCAAACATGCTATTAAAATTAAGTGGCAACTTTTAAATCCAACATACACTTCACTATTTTTAATTTAAAAGCTTATTTAAAACGGTAAAGACAGTGACACATTCATAGGAGTTTTTTAGTATTTGTAAAAAATTTTATTTCTATTTCAAAATTTAAAGAACTTACCTCAATTTTTTTTTCACAGAAAATATACCTAGGATAATGCACTCATCCATTGCAAACATGTAGCAATAAAATAATTCTCAGTTTTCATGATTAGCTATTTCACTGTAACCAAATAAGACAATATATGCAGCATTTTGGGTGCTAAATAGCACCAAAGAGAAAACTTGCATGGAACTAGATTTGTTTGTGCCCCATCTAAGTTGTTATCATGTGTAAGCCCAAGTTGATTAGACCATCTTTCTGGGAGAAACATCAACAGACTTTTTTCCTGGAAAAAAACTGAAATTCTTTACTGTCAAAGGCCTAAGCAGAAAGGTCAAGCTATTTCCTTAACTAAACACTGAAGGAAATGAATGTAAGAGTGGAGAAAGAAATTCTTAGACCCAGCCAATGCAAAGGACCCATTTGGTGAGAGCATCTGCAGGATGTGAGAGAGAGAGTAGTAGAAAGGGTCTGCTCACATCTGTACCCCCATCTCAATCTCATGCCACTACAGCCCCAGTCCTCTTGGTCACTGTGAGCATGGCATCTGCTTTTTGCCCTTCTCCCATGCTAGAGGATTTGACCTCACGGACGTACCAGACAAAAACTCTCTGCCAATGACATGTTAAATTGATGTCTGAATTTTTAAGTGCACACAGGTATCTCTTGGTTCCAATATGATTTTATGTCACCTTTCCATCCTGCTCTCTGCCAATCCTGGAACAAACCATAAGAGGCCATTGGACTTCAGTCCAAGGCAGAGCATCCACAGCTCTAAATTGTGCTGCCTTGTGATAGTCCCCTAAAGAGTCATTATGCTAGTTGAAAATGGTCATTGCACAGTATGTTGCTGTTGCATCCTATCCCTCTGCCAGCATGGGTACCTGCTGAAAGAGCCATCCATACTAGCTCTGAATTTCTGTCTCTCTGTTTAGATGAGCAACTTAGCATCTTCTCTTGGAGAAGAGGCCAGAAACTTGCTTCACAAAGCTCGGTGTAATTTCCCTGAATGCCACCGCATAGGTTTAAAGAACACTTAAATTGATGGTATTACATCACATTGTCTTTCATGGTTTATTTTTAACATGTTGAAGTTGCAATGAGGTGCTGAGTCACTGTAAAATCAATTCTCTCCTTCCTCCCTCAAAGTCCCAACAGCTGACAACACCAAGTACCTCACTGGCCTGGAGACTGGATTGCTAAGGAATGAACTATTTTATGTGATATGATTGCATTAAGTAAACTAAGTCAATTGCATAAGGAGAGCTTTACTCATCATGGTTTAGTTGCAATCATAATATTAGTGGAGATGATTTCTGATAAAAGGACCAACGTAAGTATACGCAGTCTGTTTCTCCCTTCTGGATCTCTTATGGTGATGCTTTGGAAGAGTGGGGCACCAGGAAGGCCCTTAGAAACTAGCAGAGATTCATTTTTTCTCAAAGTTCTTGAAACAGTGAAAGTGTGTAATGCAGCTGATCTCATTGTGTACTTCAGCAGTATATTACGCACATGATCTCATGCATTTTACAGAAGCAGGCTGCAAATAGACTGAAAATAAAGCATATGTGAATCATTATTTATTGGTTAGATTTCGTTCATACAGGGTTTAATAGTGAGCCCTCTGTAATCTGCAGGAGAATTTCAGTGGGCTTTCAACCACAGTCCCATAATCATAGTTCTCCAGACCACTCTGCTCCTGAGAGGTTGCAGAACGTAACTTCAGAAGGGTCCAGCTGTCACCAAGGGACAGTGTGGAAAGTCACCATTCTTTCAGTGTGCAGAAGGATGCCAGGATGAGCATCCTCTTTTTCCTCTGTGGTTCTTTTCCCATTCCTTACTTTATGCTCCATTTGCTCCCTGTTTTAAAAGGCCAGTAGAGCTTTTTCCTGGCAGACAATCACCGCCTTTCTGCCCATTCAGCTGAGGTGTGAGTCTTTAAGAGCCTCCTCTCAGAGTCCAAGGCACTCTTAAAATTTGTGTTATGCATTACAAAAATGCAATCTCCAATCTCTCCAGGTCATCAGGATTCCTGATGGAAGAGTAGGTCTGTAGTGTCATTTTAGAACCAAACAACTTCTACAAGCTGATTTTGGCTAAAGCAGGATCTTTGCTAACTCTAATATTACACTTTAGCTGCTGCATCTGCTGGAGTCCCAGAAGATTTATTTCTAAATGCATTGCCCTCTTAGAAGTACTTCTGATGATGCTTTTATCCATGCTGATGCTTTTATCCATGCTGAAGAAATTACTTTTTTGTTTACGATTACAGTTTTAATTTGTTCTTATGCTTGACTTTCATTATGATAGTCAGTCCTTGGTTCTTCCAGTGACTGTTACCTTATCAACAGCAAGCTGATAGACATGAACTTGAGTTCATGTAAGATTTGATGCTACTTTTGATAATATGTGGACTCTGTCATGTTTCTTTTGTGTTTTGTTTTTTTTTTCCTCCTAGGGGGATCCCAGGAATTTTGTTAGCTCTGTTTATTATTGGATGGTGCAGTCTGTCAGCCTCCAAAATTTTTACCTCTGCACTGGCTATGGAAGGACAGCAGCTACTGATTGCATACCCGTGTGCTTTACTTTATGGACTTTTTGCACTTCTAACGGTTTTCTGAGATGTATTTTCTGGTAGTCTTATTAAAGTCTGTTCATGGCTGTAGGAGGGGGAAGGGGTTATTTATTAGATTCAAGTTATTTTTAGTTTGTCTAGAGTTGCATTAAGTTCCATTAACAAAATTAGATTCTATGACTTACTGATTTTTTCCTAATGGCTTATAATGAAATAAAAAATCAAGTTAACAGGTAGATGGCCACAATAATAGTATTTTAACAGTCTTACAGCTTAAGAAAAAAAAATGTATTGAGAAGGAAGTAAAAATGAAAAAATATGAAATAAATTATAATTAAATGAAAAATTCTGAGTGTTTATAATATAATACATGTACTAGAGAGTAACTGAAATGCAATTATGTAAATATTTAATGGCCATAGTAAATCAAGCAAAAATGTGTATTTATTTGTTTCAAAAAAAGCAGCTTGCCATCTTATATAATTATTAATTAATATCCAGAATTTATATGTGTGGGTTTGGGGGTTTTTTATAACAGAAGATTGAGTGGCCATGCTTTGTGATATTGAAGAGTTGCCCGAGAACAAGTTGATACAACAGGGGGAGGAAACTGGGAATGTCATGTTGTTGTTGTTTTGTTGGTTTTTTTTAAGAGGTGTTGCTGTCCAAAACATCATTGTACTGTTTGTAATGCACAGTAATGTTATATTTTAAAATTGCCACTAAACCACTGCCTGCTGTAACTGCAGAAAAGCACCACGCAAAGTACAGACAACTCCTAAAAAGTCTCTGAAAGGCAGAACTGTATTTGAGCAAGGAAAGTACAAACCTCCATAATTTTATCTGCCCTCCAAAAATGTATTTAGTTTTACAGAAACCAAACATTTTGATAATGGCAAGGAAGCACAGAATGCACAAGAGGAAGTTTCAAAATATAATATTAGAAGTATCAAGCCATCAAGAGGAATTGGAGATTTGTGTGCAGTCACAACAAGAACAAAATCAAGTACTCCGTAGTAGAGAAAATGAAGGTAGATGTAGACAGAGATAGGAAAAACAAATAGTTGAAATAAATGGAAATGTGAAGGCAATAACTGGCAACAGATTATTTCGTTAGTGTTTAAGGTTGTCTTTCTTCTTGATGTATATTTCTATGATCTTGATTATCCTCCAATTTATAGATTATTTTAAATGCTTTGGTGAATTGCTTTCAAAATATTTCTTTCTCTAGACAGGAGACCAGTGATTCTGAGACAGAGTGTTCTGATACTGCAAGCACTTATGCAGAAGTTTAGTATGGCAAAACTGCTCAAGAATACCTAAAATTAATTGTGTTCCTAATCCTTTTCAGGTCAGAGCTAAATTACACGATCTGTTCGTCCTCAAGCTAGTGATTCTGTTTCTGAATTAAAAGAGCCTCTGGTAAAAATATTTCCCATTACTGTCATATTTGGTTTTTTTAAGAACTCTAAAGCAAACCATTCTGGAATTCATTTTATCCAACTCCAATGGAACTAGTTCAGAGTACAAGTCATGAGAAGTAAACAAAAGATAATGTATACTCATCCTATTTCTTAAAAAATCACTACTTATTTATGGAAAAAATACTGCATTTATCCATTTCTTTGCTGCAAGGCTACAAAAACAGGCACAGAGAGGCAAAGTTGGAGGTATGACCCTTAAGCAACTTGTGGCTATAACTAGGCAGGATCTAGTTGCATGTAAGTGGGAAGTGCGTGAACTTGGAAGATCAGCATTTATGAGCATGACAGATTTTGCCCTGCTGTATCAGGGAGTAAATTTGCCAGTAATGAGGCACAGATAAACATATAAAGTGACTCCAGGGTATGGATATAAAAATCAGATGGTTTGATTTACCATACACTAACGGCATTCTGATGTCTCAATGGGGAAAGATTTGTATGGTTGCACTTGTTGTAGAGTTCAGAAAAGATGGTTTAGAAATGTTTAGATCCATTTTTGTCCTACATTTCCTATTATCATTCATACTGACTAATATGTATATAACAAGTATAAAATGGCTCGATTCTGCAGCACTTCATTCTCATCCTGATCTGCATGATATGAATGGCAGGGAAAACAGTGAATTAAGCCACTAATTTGTCTTTTGACTTGTCATAGACAAGACAAATTACTTATGGGGAAAATGAACACCTTGAAATTTTGCCACAACATTTACAAAGCAAATGGTAGCCTAATTATAGTTTTATGTTTATTCTCTCAGAATTTGTAACTCTTTTCTTTTCTTCACCGAGACATGTCTTCACCATTTTGAACGCTAACTTCTTAACTCTGGTAACTTCCCTTGCTTTACTTTGTTTAGCTGTGCCGATTTCCTTTTACCTGTTCCCAAGGGATTTCCGGTGAGTGGTACATGCTGGTGCTGTGCTCCCAGTATGGTGTCCTGCAGGGGTCTCTATGCTGACTGATAGGGTTTACCTCTCTTAGGTGTCCTTCTTCTACTTCTTTGAAATAAGATTCCTCATTTTTCCTAGCTCTTCTTTCTGAAGGTTAGCACAGCCGTGGTGATGCTTTAGGCCCTGTTATTCCTGTGTGTGCTTCCTGAATCTAAAAATATTATGGCCACTATCACAAACTGGTACTTCATCAAAAATAAATGGTTTAAACAGATCTTAGATCAAAATAATATTTGCTAATAAACTCTTGTTCTGACTCTCTGGACAAGCTTTCCCAACACCATCTATCTTTCCTGTATTTTCTCTTGCCTCAACCATCATATTTAACTTCCCCACATCATTCCATGAAAGTTTAAATACAAGCCTGGCAAACTGTTACTTTCAACTTGCCAAAGAGAAGATTATAAAATAGTAGCGAGTCACATACTGATTTTTAATTGATGCTTCCCACCCCAAAGAGTTAAAAAAAATCACAAGGTTTCTAATCTGTCTTTGGTTTCTTGTTGTTTGTAGCATGCACATGAAAGTTCAGTTCTGAATGTGCATCCACACACAAACATGGGCACTTACTTAGGTCCTTTCTGTTAATTCAAATGGTGATATCAGTGTTGGACACAGGCAGTATGGCGGAGGTGTAGGAGACAAAGTGTTTGCCTGTCTTCCACTGCACTTCTCGTGTGCCAGATGTATTCCAGGTCACCCTCAGAAAGAAGCTTGCAGAATTCTGGTGTAAGATAAACATTTTGCTATTCCATTGGAATGCAGGAGGGTATGAAAGTGAACATATTCTGAATGAGAGGAGACCTTAGCATGTAGCTGAGTATGGAAGGACAATAAAATTGCTATATCTGACTAGCAGCTGCTTACAAAACATCTGGTTACTTCAAGAGACCTGGTCTCCTTGGCAAGTCAAGGGCCACTTCTGTAGTACCAAGGTTCCACTATTTATCAAAAATCATCTTGTCACATCATCTCTAATAGGTTATGATACAGACCTTGAATGGTTTAACTGTCGGTAGGCTGAATTGAGGACTGAAAGCTGCTGACACATGCTGCATTTCCTGGTGAAAAAGCATTAGCAAAGGGTAATATTTTTCTGCTTTTCTTAGCTTAGAAGACACAGAAGGTTTATATACAAAACAGTGACCTCATTTCATGACTACACTGTTTATGTCATTTGCGTATGAGACATGACAGATCTGTGTCTTGACTTAGACCTTTCTTGCCACCACGTTTTTTTCAGCTCCTTGCTAAACAGCCATCTCCACGTGTTGGTATTTTCTGTTCACTGAATTATCTTAAGGGAATTTTACAGTAATGTTGAATTACTCATCCTTATTTCTATCAATAATAGGTATAAATGATAGAAGAATTCAAGAAATTGTACCTGTTTTAAATCTCCTTTTTACTCCCTTATTGTCAAGAGCATATTTCGTGGTCATCCTGTTTTCATGCCTGGTAGCTAAGGATATACATATATATGATAGACATATGCATATGTGGAAAAAAAAGCATATATATGACAAGTTGCAAGACACTGGAGCTCCAACAAGTTTATGTTATTTTTGAGGGCATAATAACAGCATAATATCAACAATCTGTTGACTCAGCCTGGGAGATGATGCATATCCTTTCAAATAAATTAGCAATTGCAGCATCTGATAAGCTCTATGGAGAATCACTGCACGTAATGACAAAGCTCACGGTGACACGATGCATTTACTGGTTAATGTATTTTCTGTCAGATAACAAAAGGTTACTGGATCAGCAAGTAATGGGTTACTGCACCATAATGGCTACAAAAATTAACTGTATAATTAACGTCAACCTGCCTAGATCATTGTAATAAGAAATTGATCTCTACCTGTGATGGCATTACTAATGGATATGTTCCTTTTTAAATTCTGCTCTGTCAAAATTTGCCTTTCACTGATTCCATGTTCAGTTAGTCTCTTGCCTGTTTATTCTAAGCAAACTGCAATGGTGCTATGAGAAGTACCAATTTTGCAGCTGTAGGTCATGACTTCTCTGCTTAAACAATCTCACCTCCTTGATGTTCCTGATGGTGCATTCTTAGAAGAGGTAAAAGCACGCACAGCATCTGTGTTTTTTGCCAAGTGATTTTGAAAGAATAACATCTGTGACAATGACAATACGTTTACCGTGATTACCAAGCACATTTATTAGACTTATGGTCTCTACATTAGCTTAAAACTGCCCAGTGACCTTGGTGCTGCATCACTGAACTAGATGAACGATGCAATTCGCAGAGATCTGCATACAGTTGCATAATAAAGATCTTGGCCAACACGTACTCTCTGCTATGGTAGCATTTTAATTACGGTTGCAAAAAACAAAAAATCATTACCATTCTTTTGCCATGACATTAGGTGAAGTGATAATGGGTGAAAAGAGGTCACAGAAACACCAAACACTCATAGCTGTGAGTATAACAGACCACATGGGAAGCCACTGCTTTGCAGAGAACAAGGGATAGATTTTCAAAAGCACAAAGGTTAGTCCTATCAAAAGTCACTGAGATCTGAGCTCAATTATGTACTTTGGTGATTTTCCTGACAGCCTCTTGACAAGCACTCCTAAACAATCA